GAGTGTCCCACAAGAGTGTCCCACAAGAGTGTCCCACAAGAGTGTCCTGCAAGAGTGTCCCACAAGAGTGTCCCACAAGAGTGTCCCAAATGAGTTAGCCACAGGAGTGTCCCACAAGAGTGTCCCTTAAGAGTGTCCCACAAGAGTGTCCTACAAGAGTGTCCCACAAGAGTTTCCTACAAGAGTGTCCCACAAGAGTGTCCTACAGGAGTATCCCACAAGAGTGTCCTACAAGAGTGTCCCACAAGAGTGTCCCGCAACAGTGTCCCGCAAGAGTGTCTCACAAGAGTGTCCCTTAAGAGTGTCCCACAAGAGTGTCCCGCAACAGTGTCCCACAAGAGTGTCCTACAAGAGCGTCCCACAAGAGCTTCCTACAAGAGTGTCCCACAAGAGTTTCCTACTAGAGTGTCCCACAAGAGTGTCCCACAAGAGTGTCCCGTAAGAGTGTCCCACAAGAGTTTCCTACAAGAGTGTCCCACAAGAGTGTCCTACAAGAGTGTCATTTGGACATATGTAGCTTTTCGAACGTGTTTGCATTCGGGTTCGTGAGCTCCATCTTGTTTGCCTTTCAGTTGTTCTCCGACCTGGATTTCTCTATTCAACTTGTTTGGCTTGAATACCATAACATTATCCTTGGAACTTTGAGAGGTGGACTGCGCCTCGCAATCGCTCAGGCACTTCCTCCAAGAGTGGACTCTTTGTTCCATCATACCTCAACCGGCTGTGTGTGAGACTCCTCATCCCTTTAAGATCCTTTAAGGCGTTGTTCCTCAAATCCTTTGGGGAAAGGAGTGCTGAAAGGTCTACGGAAACTGCCGCATGCTGCCGCAAATTTGAAAGATCCATCTGAACTCCTCAAACGCAGTTGTTTCATGGTCATGGCTAGTGGGGGGAGGCCATCGCTATTAGGTTGGAGGCCATCGCTGCCAGAAACAAAGAACAAAGAAAATATCATAAGGTCTAATATAGTTTGCTTCTAGGAGCAAGGACGCTACTACTAGGAGCAAAGGGCATCGCATGAGCTTCATGGCCCCTCGAATGTCTTCAAGGCTTTGGTCTTGGACGTAGCGACTCGCCGTCTCCGGACGGGAGCTACAACCCTTGAACCGCGGGGCCCACGGTTCGGTAAAGTCAGCCGGAAACGCGGAAACCGGCCGTCAGCAGAACTATACCCCAACGCAGGGCCAATGGTGCCAATGGCAACTTCAAATCCTTTGGGCGCTGGCATAAGAGGAATGGCCTCCACCCTAGTAGCGATGGCCTCTGGCCACCTTCAGATCCTGCAGGCGAGTCACATGATTTGGATCATGTCCTTCGCACTCGCGAAGCCCATCTCCATATCGGACTCCGATCTGATGATCGACTGAGGCGTAGAGAAGAGTGGCGAAATGTCGTGAAGATTGAGCTTCCGGCTTACTAGGAGCAAGGACGCCACTAGGGGCTCCTGACCTTACTACTATAGGAGCAAGGACGCTACTAGTAACAAAGGGCATCGCTACTAGGAGCAAGGACGCTACTAGTTCTTTTTTTGTGACTCTAAATCTATCTGATGTTTAATTCTCCCGAGATGTCCTCAGGTACAATTGTATCAGCCTCCACATTTTCATGAGCTTCTCTTGTCGGAAGCGCTCTATCATTTCTTTATTGAAACTGACACCTAGGCAGGAACAAGGACGCTACTAGGGGCTCCTGGCATCGCTACTAGGAACAAGGACGCTACTAGGGGCTCCTCAATGAGGGCTAGAAGACATGCTCCATCGGTGGCCAAGATATGCCAAGGTGCAGTTTTAGGAAAGCGCATCCTGTCCTTGAGACGCATTCGGCACTCTGCCAGCGTCTTCTCCTTAGCGGGAGACTATGTTCTTGTGAAGTGAAAGCAAATGCATAGCAAAATGGACTGTCCAAACACTGTCACTATATAAAGCTTCTCTGCGCAAAAAATAAAAAAACTTGCTGAACAAATGATTGTTCTCATCCCGCGGAGGCATGTTCCAATAGCCCCATCTCAGGTCAGGCGGAACAAAGGTCGGGGTTGAGCTAAGGGGGCTAGACGATGATAGAAGTGCAGGGTGAACACAAGAGTCTAGGCAGAACTCGTAAGACATATGCTACACATCAGCTCGCATCACATCTGTTAGATCTGTTCGTGGATATCTATCACCTGCGAAACATAAGGTTCTTCTCTCTGCCCTCTATTCCTACATGTTCATTTCCTCTTTGACCAGGCTATGGACCTCTCTCAGCCCGGCAAGGCAACATAGTCCGGGCATCTGGTGACCGGAAGGAATGTCTCGCATTGAACCCACACTGAAAATGGTACGTCTTTTTTGGATGGCAATGATTTAACTTCCACAAAACGTCTAGGTAGGCCATCGCTAGTAGGTTGGAGGCCATTGCTATTAGGATGGACAACGTCTAGGTAGGCATCAGATGTGAGGATTTCAGCTTTTTGTGCACCTGCCATGCGTGGAATGCTCAATTCTCTCAGAAGGCCTGACTGCTCACAGGTCACACACTCACACACCTGATTACTTTATCGAACCCAGCAATGGATTTCTGGGCTTCAGGCTGTATATCGCCATCCAAGTACTTGTCCACGAATGCATCATTCATGTGCCTTGCAGCATCAAAGGAGTTTTTTTATCGTCCTGATTCTCTTCTCTACACGATTGAACACAAAGAACTCGAATCAGTTCCTTATGAAGGTTGCAAAAAACACATAAGCACGACATACAATATTTCTGCACAAACAAAAATTCATTGAAACAACATTGGCCCATCCCACCTGGGTGGAGTGCAGCAACAACAGCAACATCCTGCAGATGGTGGTGGTGGTCGTTCCACCAAAGGCTCCTTCTCCGTCATCGCCATCGCCAGATCCGTCTTTCGCTCTGGCTGGAACCGAAAAGGCCGTGGTTGACCAAATCCGATAGGTTCACCGCCCTTCCGAATGGAAGCTGAACACGACGTTTTCCGGTCAGAATCGACGTGGAAGTCCATGAATTGGAGAGACACCCTCGTGGCACGAAAATCCCACCGCACCGTGGCAGTTCCGCAAATCCCCCGGGTCCGCCTGCCGAGAGGTTTCGATGTGCCTCATGTGGCCGAAAGTCATCCCAGGTCTTCCCATCTGAAAAGAGAACCACTCGTTTTCAGCTTTTCGAGACCGGCTGGCAATAGGAGATAAGTTTGAGATAGACAAAACCTTGCTTCAAGCCACAGCATCGCGCAGAAGATGCGCGGCGACGCGGTGGCATTCGGAGCCACGGAGACCTCACAGAGCATCTCTCACCTAGCGCCTCCAACCGAATAGCTTCTTGCTAGTAAGGCCAGGAGCGCCCCCAGTAGCGTCCGATCGCTCCTAGTAACGATGCCCTTGTTACTAGCAATGATTTAGCTTGATACTGATGGGTAACATCAAACTTTCAGCATCGACACGTATCATGGAGGCTTCCCAATCACTGAAATTCACTGAAACATATTTAAAAGATTGGACATGCACTATTTTGCAGGGATCAAAGAGGAGATCCACATGATAGACCCAAATAGCAAGAAATCCTCTAGTGGCTCACAAAAATCAACGCACCATCCTCTAGTTTGCCCTCCCACGCCTGCGCCAATCGAGCCTGGTTGGCGGTGCTCAGTGGCCCAGCATCTGGCTGCGCCAGCAGCGCTGCCAAGAATGCCAGCACCGCGACGAGGGCACTGCTCCAAGCTGCCAGGACGAAAGTGGATGAACGCAGATGCTGGGAACTTGGAAACAGATACAAGCAGAAGCTGGATTGGAATGTCCCGCGTCTCAAGTAGCCAGGATTGGTGTCACAAATGAGCTTGGTAGGTTTGGGGTGCCGTTTTTCAGAAGACTGCAGGTGGTTGAGATGGGAGCTGTGTCACAAAACAGTTCCTACACTACAAACATGTTTCTTCTACATGTGCATCTTGGTGCTGCATGCTGCATCCCTCAGAATGCCTAAGGCCGAGGAGCGCAAGGAGGAGGCACCAAAAACCTATCGACAAGGCAGCAAAGGCTTTAGTACTTCGATTGCCAACAAGTCTTTCATGAACTCTTTGTAGTATGTATTGCACAAGGAATCTATATGCACACTGTAACACGGCAAAAATAGGGCCACATGCTGGTCTTTCTTCATGCACCGGGGAATTGGTATTAGATCTAGCTCAACTCCACAGGAGAGAAGCAATTCGAGATGTGCTTCACCATGCACCATTCCCCTGAAATCCGCCTCCAGGTCCTTCCGTGGCTTTGGGATCACATGATACCTAGGTCGGGGAGTCACTATATAGATGTGACACTCTCGTGGGACTGTCAAACTCTGAGGTACCTTGGGTCGCCTTGGTCTAAGGTCTACGAGACGAAGTCTTAGCCTTGGCATTGTGCGGGCTTGGCTTTGGCCTTCGACCAAACATGGATCACACTCATATCCTCTCTAGTGGCACATTTTGCCTGGAGCTGAGCTCCATGAAGCTGGTCCTTTCCAAGCTGCAACAGAAGCGCCAAGAGGAATGCAACCACAATGTCCACTGAGAGGTGGCTACGGCTTTGGACCTCACCAAGCACAGCGCAGCAGCACACCATCAGAAACGCACAAGTCACTTCAAAAAAGCATTTTTGTGCAGGGTCCACGCTTAGAGTTAGCTTTACATAGGTTTACTGTATATTCTACATACGTGTTGTTACCAAAGCCTTTCGCAAGCCCTTGATAACCGGACCAGCGAATACAACCACAATCGGAATGAACTTGGCTCCCACTCGTGGGATAGCTACGCCAGGCTTCCCGACAATCCGCATGGAAGCATGTGCAAGACGGCCTGGATCGCGATTGTTGGGGCTTCATCTGGGGGCTCAAACATGGGTCATCAAGTGTGGGCAGATCTGACACGAATTACTCCTTCTTTGGGGTGAGTCGAACGACTAGACAGGTATTAGGGTGGAGGCCATCGCCACGAACGATGCTTCGTGGTCCAGTCTGCTCTGGAAACGTCCAGCTTGCGCAGCTGGGATTCCCCACACCACAGGAAGCCCTGCAACCAGCGTGGGGCACCGAAATCCTGCAGGTCTTGATGTTCATGGATTTCGGATTTTTGAATGCCTAAGCCAACGGTTGGAGGCCATCGCTAGTAGGTTGGAGACTACTACTACTGCTGCTGCTACTACTGCTACTACTACTACTACTACTGAAGGCCATCGCGATCATGTTTTCAAGGCCCAAGGAAACGCTTTCGCGTTGACCATTGACATGCGATCGTGCCCAGAACCGCGTGGTTTTGAGTCCGGCCATTTCTGGAGCCTGGTAGAGCAACACACAGAAGGTGAGGACGGAGGCATGTCCGCTGAAGATGAGGTCGTTGCAACCTCCACCTCTGAGGTCGACACAAAATAAGAAAAGAAAAGAGTAGCGAGCTCTTGTTACTAGTAGTAAGGCCAGAAGCCCCTAGTAGCATCCTTGCTCCTAGGAGCGATGCCCTTCGCTCCTAGTAACTTCTTGGAAGTAAGTTTCACTTGGGCACCTGCATTTTTCTTGGCCTCTCTTCGTGGACTGTCTTCAGTGTATCTGTCCCTTCGGAACCTACACCATGATACATCATGCCAAGGTGGTTTGAAACCTGCAAAGCAACTTCTATCCAGCTATGGTTCCAGATACTTGCCCTGAGCTGGATTAATATGTCCCAAGTGTTGACATCCGTGAATTGTTGATCCGCACAGGTGGATACAGTATGTCAGTCTGTTACCCTGATAGGCCATGGACATTTTGCAACCCAAGGGGGGATGTTTTTTCACCATGCCACCCAATGGGGCATAGCAAGAAGCTAGTAGCAGGTGCATCGCTAGTAGCCAAGTGCATTACTAGTAGCGAGAAACTAAACTGAATCCCTCAACCAAACCACTGGTCTTCACTTGGTCGAGCGTCCGGCACGCATATGAGTCACCGCTTCTCGCCAGTGCTCAGTGAGAGAATAAGTCTCATCGTAGCGGTTGACCTCGGACGTGGGATTGGAGCCGAAGATCTAAGATGAGTGCTTAAGGTTTAAGTGCATAAGGTGTCCTCTTTCTTCATTGGACCTTCACTTGCCTTTTTCTTGGCACTGTTCCTTTTGTCGCAAACAAGGTCCCTCACAGCAAAATCCTTCGCAATCATGTACAGGCCTGTACACGCTGTACAGGTATATGATACCTTGTGGCTGTGGATCAAAATGAAGCACAGCGAAGCAACCACAGCAACCACAGCGAAGCACAGCGACCCTAGCAGTGTTCCTGGAAGCCAACATCCGCTGAGTGTCCACGCGAAACAAGCCTGATTCTGGGAAGGGATGACCTGGGCGTGCACATCTTCATGAAAGCCATCCATCGTGGTTTCGGTGCTTTTGATTGCCATCTGGGGCTGGGTGGGCCATTCTGAGCTTTACTCCCTGGTCATGGTCATTGAGCAGAACTATTCCAGGCAACCTGATCGAGCATCTAGGAGCCTCAAGAAAAACTTCTCATGGGACAATCTTGGACATGCACATTGGTTATTCTTCCTGCTTTACACCTTTCAACAGGCAGTAGTGTTCTGCAGAGCTTCAAACCAAAAAAGCCTGATCAGAACGCTGTCTTAAGGGTTTCAAGGCGTACTTAGCTTCTCCTGAGAATGATTTTCTACGAATGGACCATGAGCTTCTTTGAGGTACTTGACGAACCATAAGACATGCACTTTCAAGCCATAACTCCGCCCGAGAATGCTGCCCAAGCGCCGTGGAGCAGTAGCATAAAACGCGAAGCAAACGGCAGTATCCTGGGATCTTTGAAAGTCAAATCTTCGACATCCGACATCAACACACAGCCTCACAAACATCAAAAACCCTAAACCTTTCGCCGCGCATTCGGGAACAAGATGCGAGAACGTTTAGGGGTTCGTGGTTCGTCAAGGTGAAACCTGGGACCGTACAACCCCAGTACTGACCCGAACGAAGAAAAACATCAGTCATGAACCACATCTGGCACGTCGGACTAGTAGCGTCCTTGTTACTAGTAGTAAGGCCAGGAGTGCCCCTAGTAGCGTTCTTGCTCCTAGGAGCGATGCCCTTTGTTCCTAGTAGCTTCCTGTAACGCCAAGGCACGCATTACCCTTGCGAGTTTGGCGATCGCTTGGACTGCTCGACCATCTGAGGCATAGAAGGCGCAACAGGCGGTGAGGTACAAAGCCTCAGCCCATCGGAGCAACTCCTCGAGACTCTTCGTCCGAAAAAGTGGGACGAAGAGATAGCGCCAAACACATGGCGACACGATAGCACAAAAAACGAATCAAAACGGCTCCGGAGCGGGAGATAATTGGTGTCACGATCCTTTAGCATCTTGCAAGGTTATTCATGGATTTCACCTTACAATGGAATTAACACATCGATGGTCCCATGGTGTTAGAAGCCATGTCTGCGTCCACATACTGACCTGCAAGCTGTGCTTCATTTTCTGACTCCGGTCTCGTGCGTCTTCACTTGGGCCTCCATGCGGCTTCATCTGCGTTGAGCTCGGGCAAACGTCTTAGAAGGCCATCGAAGATCTGGCGGAGATCGCGTCACCCATTGTCACCCTCCAGTCTCGAAGCAAAATCACATACGAAAAGCAGTACAAATGCCGTGGGCTCCCAAAGCTACTGATCTTGCGAAATCTCAAAGGGTTTCTTTGCCAAGGAGGTTTATCCCCAAGGCAGGAACTCCAGCACTACAAGGGCACCCTGTATCCTCTGAACGAGGCCTCCGAGCGACAAAGATACTCCAGCAGCAGGAGGACATTGTCCTCGAATACTGGTAACAAGGACGCTACTAGTAGCAAAGGGCATCGCTACTAGGAGCGATCGGACGCTACTAGTAGCAAAGGGCATCGCTTCTAGTAACAAGTGCCTT